GATGACACAATTTTTTTGGTAAGTACTCACAGAATCATTTTTCAGGGCATTCAATTCTTCCTCTAACATTAGGTTATCTCTCATCAGGTCTTCATTTCCTGAAAGCAAATGAATGTAAAAGGTTTATCTTACTCTTCTAAAATGTGAAAACTCATTTTCATGCTGATGATTATTCATAATCTCAACACTGTTTACCTAACAGTGAACCAAGCTAAATAAAATAATAAATTCACTGACCACTGCTACAAGTTTACATGTTTGAAATAAAAAATGAGATCAACACTTCTCACAGCTAGCTAAAGCTAGTCTGAAGGTTGTGTCAATATAAGCTGCAGTGTGGTTGTTAACTTGATGACTTATTGGTGTTTAGTAGATTTTCATGAACCTTAATTTGTACTAAATTTTTGAATCTCAGAAAATCTATTTACCTTCAAGCAGAACAGCATTTCTTGATCCTGAAAACAAAGTAAATGTGACCAAAAGTTAAGTTAAGTCAACTCTAAAATTCTCAAGACTGGTGATTGAGAAACTTAAAATTAGGAACTTTTTTGTATTGTGAAAATTTTCACACCCAAACATTAAACTTACTTATGCTATCAATAAATTCATTGTCAAATTCTCCCAGTTCATCAAGTTCTGTCCCCATCATGAAAGCAGCATAACTTTTCTCCAAATACCTAAAAAAGTACTGAAATTATAGGGTAATTTAGCGTTATCAACTGACTTAAAAATGTAAATTGTCCATCGTAAAGAGTTTAAAGGCTGACTTTTCAAGAGTTAGCCTTTTGTCTGACTTATAGAAAAATCTTTGCTCATGAGAAAATCAAAAGCAGAAGAAAGTCCCTGATAAAAGGGAAAAAGAAAAAAAAGGCCTGAAGAAGAAAGAAAGAGCACCATTCTCCCAAGAAAAGAAAAAAAATCCTAGCAGCCATGAGGTCATTAAGTATTCAGTCACTAATGATATCAGTGATAGCAGCCTTTTCAGGACTACTTGCACTCAGATGATCTGACTATATCATACACTTTTACTCCTGGGTTCAAACCATGCACCACAGTTCTTTTCAGGATGACTCTCAGACTACATATGTCACCCAGTCTAACTAACGGTGGCTTTATTCATGACTTACCTTGTCTTCAGGTTGTGGCCCATCTTGGTATTCTTCACCAGCTCTGTAATTGTCCTCAGGGAACAGAACATGGCCTTCAATATCCTGACCAACACTCATGGCATGCTGTTATATTTAATTACAAGTACAAAAAAAATCAAATCATTTGTCTCTCTGCATGTAAAGCCACAAGCTGTCATTGGTCATGACATTGTGACAGCTGTAATTTTCTGGCAATCATTAACTATAGCAAAATGCATCAAATTCAGTATAATTTAACAATAATTAACCTTGATAAGTTCAATAAGCCAGCATAGTGCACCGAGTACCATGGGCCAAGCATGAGGACTTCCAACAGAGTGCAGGTTACTCTTTGAAATTGTAAATGGATAACTGAGGAACAAAAAAAAAATTATGGAGGTAAATTTGGAATATATAATTATATATTATTGATACAATCATTTTCATTGATTGTGTAATAAGAGCCCTGACTAGGAAACAAAGAAAATTCTTCCTTAATCTTAGCTTTCCCAACATACCCTAACATCTTGAAAATCCTTGGGATCTCCTCTGCTGGTTTGGATTCCAGTGAAGTGTTTTTTTGAGTGTCTGCCTTTATGTACTTGTAAAGAAACTGTGCAAAATAGACCTCACATTTAGAGTAAAAAAATTAAGGACTCCTATAATCTCTCAGAGGTTACATTCAAATTTCTCTTGTTGAAAATGACAAAATAATGTAAACACAGATAGCATAACATACTCTTGGGAGTGTCAATTTGTACTTTTTTTCTAATTAACAGAGAATTGTTGATACATGCAGTTGAGGAATAGGTTTGTGAGGACTTATAAAAAATACTAAGTTTCTGACAATTACCATAAGAAGAACAGGCCAAAATACATGAAATCACTGTGGTAGATGCAAGCTTAAAGTGTCTAGCTTTTTTGTAAACTACAGTGTTTACATTACCTGGAAAATGTTGCAGAACTCTTTTGTAGAAGGAGCACTCAGAATTCTCATGGAAATTTGATGTGGATAATGAAACTCTGTCAGGAACTAAATTAATAATGGTAGCATTATTCATTAACTCTGCAAGACTAGTGAAAATATATCTACTGACATAAAACTTAATGTAGTTACAATCGATTACAGGCTCACAAATGTTGTAAATAACGATGGGTGAATTTAACATGAGAAAAAAAGTATCCTTATGTGTTGACAGTCTTGCAAGGGTCTTTAGGGGAATGAACACATCAGCTGAACAGGTTTAGAGATTATTTTTTTAAGTCATGATAATTTATGAGAAAGCATCCGAAGTTATATCATTTTGCAAGAGATGAGCCGAGATCACGGCAAATCGCAAACCTGTGGACTGGCTCAGGTTTTTGAGATGTGAAGGTAAGAGTGATTCCAGGAAAATTAATTAGCCATCCGGTTCAACCCTATATACTTTGCAAATTAAAAATATAATACTGCACATACCTCCATAAGATATCTAATCATTTTTTGCTGGTATCCTGGGATGAAAATGCAAAAAGTAGGTTTCAAGCTTTGAACCTAGTTTAAATATTTGGCTGTTCTGATAAAATGTATAGGTCGTTCTTTCAAAATATAAAACCATAAACAACAATTGATGCAGTTTTACTGTGATCATGAAGACCTAGAAAAAGTTTATGGACTCTGAAAAATGTAAGTCTTGAAGTGAACCGAAGAGAAATAACGAAAAAAGGCCTGATAGAGGATAGAGAAAAAAAATGAAATTAGAGAAGGCTTCATGCACCTCTGTCGGAGAGGGGCCGCGGATCTTTCATCTGAACACAGTTTTCTCTCCCATATTGGCTAGATGGTCTCCTGAAAGATTAAAGATTTATTAGAACTACAAAATAAGCATAAAAAGATCAAGCTTCAGTTGATTTAAGCTTTCAGTAGAAGTGTTGACATTATTTAGATTCAACTGCATTAGAAGGAAAAAAATACAGAAAGTTATACCAAATTAAGACATTATTTCCGCGCAAAACATGTAATAGGCAGTTGATACAAAAGCACCGAATCATAATAACGTTAAAAGATGGGGCGAAACCTTTTGGGTTTACGACGTTTTCCTACCTTCCAGTCGCTGATGATCTTGCACCAGCGAGCGAAGGTCTCCCCGAAGTCGAAGGTCTACCGAGTGATGTCCTATTTCCTATTGAAGCTCTCGATCCAAGAGAAGTTTTCTTCTCCCGAGCGACCGGTCTGCTCTGATTTCCTATGTTAAGAGGGCCCAGGGTTGTTCGCCTCATTGCAGGAATAAAATCCAAGACAGATCAAATGTGATGAGTACTACTAAACAATCCCACAACCAAACGTTTTACTTTGAAAACCGCGCTCAAACATTAGCTTCCAGCCTCCTCGCTGGCATAAACTTAGATATGTCATGTACGCCTCATGAACATTACCAAGATTTTGATGGGAAGAGGAGTAATACGTCCCCATGGATACGTTAATGGTACGTGCTCCCCAACAAGCTGAGTCCTAGCCTTTGAAGAAGCTTTAATTAGAGACCATTGATTCCCTAATTCCACAAGAAGATCATTTGTATTACAAGCTAAAATTTATTTGGCTGATCAAATGTTGCTTTTAACAACAGCATGAATTATTTACAATAGTCTCTAACCAGCACTGGTCTAGAAAAATAAATACTTTATACTTAAAATAAAATTTTAAGGTGTCTTAAAAAGTGTGCAAAATGTATTTACAACTGTTAGGTAAACTACATAAATTATCTGATGAAAAAACTTGGCTGCTATGTACAATGCGTACCACAACATTCAATTTAAATCAGATTTTGGCAAAAAACATCGCTTTGCACAATGACCTGTTTCATCAAAGGGGCAAGTGAAACACATAGTTGATTATCAGCATAAAGTAAACCTTTAGACCCCTAACAGTGACTACCATCTACTTTCTCCCTACAGTTTCACCTTTGAATCAAGCATTAGGGTGACATGAACAAAAAGGAAATGATTGCACAGTAAAAATATATATATATATATATATATATATATACATAAGTTAAAGAATTAAAGAGGATGCATCACTTCTCTGTGACTCTGAGTTTTCTGCCCGAAACTCAGGAAACTCAGAGAAACTCAGAGTCACAAAGAATCGATGCATCCTCTTTAATTCTTTAACTTATCTATACTTAGCTCTGCTACCACAGCATTAAGCACTTTATGCCAAGGTAGACTCTACTCCCACACTCATGTATGTATGTATATATATATATATATATATATATATATATTGTGATTGTTAAACAAATTCTCATTGTCAGTACTAAAGGAAGCGCATGGAGAACAGTATTGAGAATATACAAACTGATGTTAAGGTGTTAAGGGTTAATTGGCCAACCTGCTGTTATTTTGAGCAAGTTAATCATCAACTTGGTGCATCATTCAAGTTTTGTGAAATAATGAGTATACAAATAATAATGTAATAATAACTTAAGAGAAATAATACAACAAGTTGTATAAATTAGGAGAAACTGGGAAGAACAGATTATTGTTAAAGTCCTTTCCTGGACTCATGTTTCTATAGTATAAATATTTTCCCCTTGTTTTTGTTTGTTTGTTGGAATATCAAAAGAGATTCCATACTATATATATATACCTTGGTATGAGGAACTTGACTAAAAAACACCACAACCCTTCCTGATAAATAAAAACTCTAATGCTTTCAACATTTTTTTTCATGGTCTAGAGGATCTTTTTGCATAAAGCCTTTTCAAAACTCCCTCCTTGTTCCTTACAATATTTACTATGGCCCTGAATAATTGCATGAAATATATTCTCAACTTTTTTTAAAAATTGAAAATTTTGTACTAAATATCATAGAAAGACATTGGGGTGACCTGGGGTTGCTAGACATTAGATTTATTTTATTAAATAGTTATGTAATCAACTCTTTCCAATTTGGAAAACGAACTAATATTTATCCTCTACTTGAAGACCAGCCGAGACAGAGCAATGGAAATCAAGCCCTAGCCAGAACAGGTGTCCTGAGAGAGGTGTTCATGCAAAGGAGTGTTAAGTTGTAGAGACCCACTGAAAGGGTTTGGTTTATGAAGGTGAGGTGCCTGTTACAAAAGGGGTGTCATTGTAACTCAAGCTTCCAGATAGGTATGCTCATAGAAGATAAAGGAGTCTTCTAGAATAATCTAATTCCAGTGTGGGTGTGGTCCCATAGCTAGCCATTGCTGGGTTACTGTCTCATAAACATGCTCACAAATAAAAATACTGCAGGTACCTAGCTACCACAACATGGCTGCCTTAATCTTTTTATAGTCATTATCAACAGCTGTCATGGTTTCCATAGCTGTAGCCACAGCTTCTCCTATTCTGGTGCAGTTAGCGTCAATATTGCAGACTGCTGCCTTAGCCCTCCTCTGTGTCATCCCTCGAGCTGTAGCACGCTCAAATGCTGTAACTTTTAGTTCATTTATTTTATCTTCATTTTCACGAAGGCTGTTTAAAGCACCAGGACACTGAACTAAAACTTTTTTTGAAGCAGCACCAACCTGCCAGAAAGCAAAGAAAAATATATTAAGGTCAATGATTATGAGGAAGAAGAAGAAATGGCATTTTCTGAATGAAAGTCCCACCACTATCCCTTATTACTAACTATCTAATGGTAACATGCAGCTGTACAAAATAAAAATGAACTGAGTATTATGTCAGACCATTTGTAAAAATTGTTGAAAAGTTCAAAATGACTTAGTTTCCTCTAAACATTGTTACTCCCTCCATATTAAGCCCCCTTCCTTAATTAACCCTTTACACACTAACATCAATCTGCATATTCTCCATACTGTTCTTGATATATTTCCAAAGGTCCTAACAAGGAGAATCTGTTTAACAATCAAGAGCTTCTTTGGTTGTGGTCATTTCCTTTATTCTCATGACCTTAATGTTGGATTCAGGGGTGATATTGTAATGAGAAAATAGATGCCTTAAAGGGCCCTCCGTTGAGACATCAGTAAAGTATTTGTTGCATTTAAATAAATTTTGCTGATAATAAAATACTGAACAAAAGTTCTTACCTCTGAGTGGAATGAGTTCAAAACTCTCTGTACTGGGCCACTGACACGCTCTTTCACTTCTTTCTTCACTAACAACTTTATGTACCCTCCATCTTCATGTGCCTGGAGAGGAAAAGTAAAAAGTACTTCAAGGATGACTGATACATGGACATCGATAATGTTGGAAATTGTCAGCAATATATTCACTGGAAGAAAAATTAGGTGGCAAGGCCAGAGGTGAACTGAACAAAAATTGTATCTTCAATATATCAGATGACTATTGCATCACAATGCAGCCAAGCCATGCCATATATGAATCTTTAATATTGGAAAATCTTGATTCAAACTCCTTGAAAGTGACACCTTCCAAAAACATACCAGAGGCACACTGGATAGAATGCTTATCACTTTTTTCAATAAGTGTGTATAATGAAGAACCTTGGCAAGGAAAATTGACATTGCATTTCACAAAGCTTAGAATCCTTTTGATCAAAGAACTTTATTATAATAGACAATGTTGAGGAGAAAGAAAAAGGAACTCCATGGCAAAAGTGACACACTATTTATGCATGCTTTTGCTTATCAGAAGTGTCTTAATGAGGACTCTTCACCGCAATTGTTGTCTTATGCCAAATGCTTCAGGCTATTAATCTCAATCTCTAGTTGCAATAAAGAAGAATTTAGAAGTAGATATCACAAACTATCCAAGCTAACCTCCAATGCATCTTCATCATCATCTGTCCTTATCAACTGCTTCAGTCCATCTATACACTCTTCAAGACTTGCCTTTGCACTGCTAGTAACACCTGCCCTACTACAAGCTCTCTTAAAATTGTTCATGGCATCAAGTAGTCCTGTACTCGTGTTCTGAACAGTCTCAATTGGGTTATTACACTCAGCAAAGAACACATCAAACTGTATGAAACAAATAAAATAAGATATTAGCAAAGTGAACAATGAGAACTTTAAACCCTTGACTGAAAGAGTATAGCGACTCATTTACCTCAGGCACTTTGGTAACAATGAGTGGAATAAACTCCTTTTTCTCTGAAATTTCCAAAGGACTTATGGTTACAAAGTTTTTCTCTTCAAGTTCCAGATCATTCTTGCTAAGTTTCCCACCCTTTGAAGTAAGTTTCTTTTTCTTCATTTTCTGTTGCAACAGATGTCGTATTAGCGACTGGATTGCAGCATGTACACTGTTATCACTCTCTTTGGCTGACACTGTAACACTGAAGAACAAACACCACAATTAAGAATATTAGCTCTTAAATCAGAGCTAACAGACAAAGAATGATGACAAATTATACATCACCTAATTATCAAGTCTTATTTAATATTACATGAACAGGATTCAAAATAATTTTTCAGCTTTTAGTGTGAATTTGTAGGCTTTTGTCGAGGCCCGTTTTTTTTCCCGGCTGTCAATAATAAATGAGCAAAAATAACTGTGAATATACGAAAGTCATATATTTGAACTGTGGACAAAGACATGAATATGAAAGCGATCTACTACTATTACTACTGTATTAGTACCATGCTGTAATGGCAGTGTCTGACATCCTCCTCTAAATAATAATAATAACAATAATAAAAAAACTCCTAACGTGTGGTTGAGGACAACTTCATGTTAACAATAAATTTAAAGTGAATTAGGAATTGATCAGGATTAAAAAAATATCCACAAGGACTGGGGGGAAAGGGGGTGTCTCAAGAGCAGTTAAATGCCCAACAGTTACCTTCCAACAAAGCCATGTTGTAATGCCACACCCTCCAGTACTCGCACTGTTTCTAAGTAAGACATCTCATCATCATCATCATTTCTTTCTTCTTCAGTCTTGTGATATTTGAGCTGCAAAATTAAGTTGCAAGTATTTGAAACTCGAGAACATTTTTTAAAAGTTTACTCATTTTCCTTCAAGCAAAATGAGGCTTGGTTAACATCAGCTTCAATTTAAAGTTTTCCTTATTTAAAAACTTTTCAAGCCAGTTTAAAATTTTTTTCCCCTGTGTTTTAGATTATGATCTAAAATAGTGAATACAAGACAAAGAAAATGAAAAATCAAACTGGCTTCAAACATATTACATTTTGAACTACAAATATATTTACTAAGAATGGTGATATCTTTGTGAACCTCCCCAGTATAACAAGAACATGACTACCAGTTCTTTGAAAGTATAAATAAACCTCTGCACAAAACTCAATAATGAATCTAAAGGTAATTTAGTATCATCAAGTGAGTTGACAACATAGAATGGCCACTGTAAAGAGTTTCAAAGCTGACATTTCAAGTGTTAACCCTTTGTTGTTCACTTGCAACTTTAATTTTGAAATTCTTTACATTGGCCGATTTACATTATCAACTCAGTTGATAATACTAAATTACCTTTTATACTCTGTTACTGACACAGCACCACAGTTTCTTTGGAGACTCACCCCCTTTATTCAATGAATCTTACTAATAGTTTACCTTATCCATCTTGTTCCCCAAAAGTAGAATTGGTATCAGTTTAGAATCTGCAATGTTTTCCTTTATATTTCCATTATTGGCTGTAAATACGGCATTATTTACAATGTCTTGTTTCCAGGTTCCAGCCATAGTCACAGAGTCAATGTCATCCATGTCAACAACAACTAAAAGGAAGAGAGAACTCACAAATTTTAATTTAAAATGACTGCATATCATGTAACTGAGCAGTACAAATAAGGAAATTTACCATCATGATGATTTATTGACCCATTTAATCTACTGAGAAATTCAAATGTACTGTGAAATATTCTGATTCTTTTAAGTAAATAATTAAAATCATCTATCACATAGTAACCTCTAACAAAGGAACAAGGGAACAATAGCAATTACCCTAATTATATTATACCACAACCCTCCCCTCGAGACAACTTCATGGAGATTTTTACATGGAGTTGTGAATTGTAACAGCTTTTCCCTTATTGGTCTCTCATGTAACAGCTAGCCAGGTTAAACATTGGACACAATTTGAGCTGTCACATCTCAGGCATGCAAGCCAAAGTGTTTATATAAGGAAAAGTTGACAGACCTGAGGGGTTATCCTACCTACTAAGGTGAAACAACTTGCCCTCTTAACCCTTTCACTCCCACAAGTGACCAAGACAGAATTTCTCCTTACAATATGAATACAATATCAAGCAGGCAGGTGATGAGAATAGAGAAGAATGTCAATCATGGGATTATTAGTTGATCCAATACCAAATTCTTTGAACTAACATCATAAGAATTATATGGCAGGTAGTAAGGAGAATTACTAATCAGATCTTGGGAGTGAAAGGGTTAAATCCCCTTACCCCTCAAGACAAGTTCATTGTTTTCATGTTAACATTGTACATGAAAAAATTATGCACTTATGATTGGCTGAAAACGAGTGAAATCTCATATAACACAAATGCAAAGTTCTAACACAAGTGCAAATTAGAAATAGCTTGCGCATGCTTTTAAAATTTTGTCTGTCTTGACTTTCTGTGATGCTTTTTTTCACGTAAAGTATTAACAAGTAATAACATGATTTAATTCTCCTGCAACTTGGTGTAATAAGCAATTGTAAATTTTTAAAGACTACAAATTGCAATTTTATTGTCCTTGAAAAAATATATTTGTGCTTATTAACACCAAATTTCACTGGAAATCATGCTATTACCTATACAAATGGTTGGTTGAATTTTCAAACTCATGAGAGGGTTGTGTTGGTTACCCAAGACCATATAACTGGGCCCTGAGTTGTACTTCTTACCAATAGCAGCATCCACATCCTTGTAATAGCTTCTTCGCAAGTCCATTTCCTCTCGCCCAGGAAGGTCCCATAATGCCACAGACACAATGGTCTCAAATGGGACGTTGACATGCTTGACAATATTTCCAATACTCACAGAGACACTGGGCTGATAACTGTAGTCAAACTGGTTTTTTGTGTAGCGTAAAAATATACTGGATTTTCCAACTTCAGGGTCACCTTAAATCAATCACAAAAAAAAAAATTTACTTTTATTTTACTTTACTAGACAGAGAGGTATGCTACCCACATTGTGTTTACTGCAAAGAAATCAGCTCAAACATGCTAGTTCTGGCTTGAGTTTGACCCAAATTCTACAGTCTCCCAGCTTAATATATAGTAAAGTCTTTGGTGAAGAAAAGCAATATTCGCAAGACAATTGATTTGACTGTCATGATGAAAAAACTCAATAAACATTCCACGGGTCATACACCAGTACCTTTAAATCCAAGAGGGGAACGCTACTTAATAAGAACCTTTCCATCCGAATTATGAGAGCCGAGTAAGAGTTATTACCGGTAATATGCTGCACTATGTCTTATCTCAATCCATAATCTCCAAATTTATATCAAATGGTGTAGTCTCGCGCCATTTTGACAGAATGTCATAGATTATTTGCTGTAAAATTTTCATCACTTTAAAGAGCCCTACGATCTAATTTCCTTGTAATAAGAAATAAAACCTTCCCTGGCACTAATTACTTTCCTGTTAGTACTTAGCACTTCCCACTCAATATCGATCATGTTCAGTGTGGTATACCGAGACTCTTCGATGTCCGTCGCTATAAACAGTTTTCGTTTTTTTTTTTTAATAAAGCGAAAGTTTCCTCAAAGGTCTTCACTTCTTGATATATGATAGAAGTCGAATGAAAGAAAATTGTTATGTTTGTCAACGAAAATTTCAGACTTCCAAATACGGTTGCGTTTCCAATTGGAAAAATTCCGTGCAAGCCCTGTCTAACATTTAACTCGATAAACAGAGCAAAAAAGCACAAGTTCTTAAAGGAAAGTAACGTTTCCCCATCTGATCATCGAAAAATATTCCTCATTTACGTAATCCTTGCTTTATCAACGAGACAATTCAATATAATGTGAAATCTGTTTTGAGTAAATAGCTTCGCATAATTGTATTGCGATAAACATTGGTCGTGAGCTTGTATATTCAGTAAATTTGCTGAAAAAGTTATTGGTTTTAAAACGACCTTATCTATTTGTATCTGGGACCACATCTCTCGCGAAGAGAAGCATAAAGTTTGCAAGCCTTCGCTTTAAACTATCGAACAACACACTCAGGGAGCTACATGTATCAGCCACTCATCAAAAGATCGAATTGAATGTGCAAAACTTACCGACAAGAACAACCTTGAACGTGGGTATTTCGTTCTGAATGACTTCACCTGTGATGAAAGAATAGCTACGATCATTTCCCTGGTTCAAATGAGGAAAGTATGAACCTAGAAAACTCACCTCTACTACAACTACCAGCTGTACCCATGTTGTTCTCTGCGCTACATATCGCGAATTTCGCGAACTCACGCGCGTACTCACTATCTCCTGTTACTATAGAAACACACTCACATCGTGTTGTTTTCACGTCATCTGCCATTAGGAAACAAAGGCGAACATGTTTGCATCTCCGGTTTTGACTTCCGTAGAACCAAGTTTTATTTAAGAGTAGACACAGAACAGACACAGAAGGTCTGCGCTTATGGTTCCTTTTCAAATCCCATTTTAAACAAAAGTCTAATCACTACGTTTAGCAACTCACGGTCTCTCTCCTACTCAGGAAGGCTCACAATCACAGGGGTAGATTTTCCATGAAAGCGGTGAATGTAAGGTGTAAGAAATGTTGACTCCAAAATAACTGAAGAAAACAATCTTGTTATTCGAATCATAGGACAATCATTGAACACAGTTGTTGCAAAACGTTTCGATTTATTGGTGTTCTCAGCCTTCCGCTTTGGAAATAACTCATCTATCAAGTCATTTTTATTGTCCTCATTCTGGCACTGTAAATTGTCTTGAACACCATATATTTGTCTACTGCTCTGTTAAATCTATTGAAGGATTACAAGGAAAGAGACTGATAGCTGTGGTAGATTTTACTCCTTTGTGGTAAACATGATTTTAGATCTATTTGATAGCTCAAAAGAAAAATAACAATGGCATGTTAAGAGAAAAAATGATGACAATAATAATAATAACAATAATAATAATAATAATAATAATAATAATAATAACAGCAATAATAGCAATAATATTCCTGAAGTTACTGCATTGGATAATGTTCACTTCCAGCAATGAGAATCAATGTTAAGATTAAAAGGATAGGATATTTATTATTTACAAGTAAATGTAAAAGTTACAATAAAATTGTAGTGCACATGGGCACACACTAAGCAGTGTGAAAAGAAAGTTACTTTTCCATGACCATGCAGTCTGTTTAAAGACCTCTTCTATATTCTCTACAATCATTGTCCAGTGAGCAAGCCAAACAAGAGTTACAGGAAATCAAGCAAATGCAAACGGAAGGGGCGACAGTTTGTGGTCAGACTTTGAATGACTTAATGGGGGGACTCATAACTGAATGTATAAAAATGAGACTCTTTCCTTTTTTTTTTTTTCCAGGGACAGTATGTACAATCTCAAACAATAATCCAAAATTTGTACCAATTTTATATTGATTGTAAAAACCTGCAATAAAAGAACTACACACTTCTCTCTCACATGCCACACAAGAATTGACAAGGGCAACATAGTTGACGCCCACTTGTGTGATTTGTTCTTATATTTTTACTTTCTTGGCATATTTATCAAAGTCTTCCTTGTTCAGTTTATAGGCCCAGTGTTGAAGAGTTTGTCTTACAACAGGTGACACAGCAAAGTTATCATAAGCACAACCGCTTCGAACACATTTGGAAATGAGGTTATTTCGCCAACGACCCTTATCTCCAGTACAGTTTTTCCATCGGTCAACCTGTCGTCTATCATCTTCTGTGCGCCGCCCAAGGTAAAATCTACAATACCTACCAAGGAAACAAATTCAGAATTGTTGTTGCATTATCAGTAGGTCTTATTCTGGTAAGGACAGAAGAAAAAACTTGCCAAGCATACTCTTCACTTCTCTTGCCATTTGTTATTCATTGAACATGAGGAATCAATCCCAAGATCTCAAGATTCCCCCTCCATGTCTCTGTTACTGAGAACTCTATAGTGACCCAGGCATTGTCAAAAGCATTGTTGGGGGAAAACTTGGTAAAAAGAATAATAAATATTTCAATCTTCTTATGAAATAATATACACTGGTAATAAAATTACCTCTCGAGAGGTGATTATGGCAAGATATGACAAATTCCTGGACCAATTAGAGCACAGGTATCTCAATTATTACCTGAGTAACAAATAATACCTTGCCTAGTAAAACTCACCACTGAAACCAGCCATAAGGATCTTGTTTGTTAATCCAGCCAGATGATTCCCACATTTCTAAACTGCCCCCACATTTCACCTTGTAAGTGTTGCCTTCATTACGATAGACAGATGATGTCACCTGCCTTTTGATGTTAAGTCCTTCAAACCATTCAGAAGGAAATTCTTTGTAAACATCAGAGGAATATTTCTGACCTACATAAATAAAGTGTTTGAGAATGAAAATGTAAGAAATACTTTAGCAAATATTATTTTTCTTTAATCCTGATGATTGAACCAAATCCCACAAGACACTGGGTGTTTTAAGGTACACCACCCCAAAATCCCCACTTTAATTTCAAAAGCTAAATCAATTGAGAATTTTTTTAAGTGGAGATTGTAATGATTTCAAACTTCACAGATGCTCCAAGGCTCTCTCTTACATAGAGCATCACTTTTGTTTTCTTTATTGCTTATAAAACAAAATTACCCAACTTAATTTGTTTACTTTACAGGCAATCTGCAGCAATAAGCATTGAAAATGCGGTCAACTCTCTTTGAACCCTTGGGAATTTGAAAAGTCCTTAAGTAGAACTGTCCACCGACAAGAATTATTCCTAAAAGCAGACACCAAAGAAAAAGAGGTTGATGTTTGCTAGTGGAAGAGTTACACAGTCAATGAAAGTTGTTGAATATTCTGCTCTATTCACCTCCAATTGGGTGAATAATTGTTAAATATTGACTTATTTTAAGCTTCTTAGAGCTACTTGGGTGTGAAGAAAGGGGAAACTGAAAGCCAGCATGGTTTAACTCCATTCTATAACATAATACATAATATATGCTTCCTAAGTGCTTACAACAGAATGAAGATTGCTCAGAATGACAATGCTATACAATTTGGCCGCTTTGACTGATGTGGCCTTCCACTCAATGCATCCACAAGGATATCAGTGCAAGCTCTTAGTTGTTCACTTGAAGGGTGGCCGATGTTATTTCTGAGGCTTGCTTTACTTCGCCATGATGAGCTAACCACAATGAACCTCAGTATGATCCCAGTTGCTCTGACACGCCATGATTGGTGTGAATTTTAATGGTTGTGCCAGTTTGGCTATATATTTTTCATAATTCCTGTTTGCTCTGTTTTGTTTTTGAACACAAAACTATATACACCATACAAGTGTTAACTATGTTTGATTTTATTACCTTATGTAAGCTTGCAATCTAACTGAGTGAGGAACACTTCAAAACTTGGACTGTCCATTTTGTTTTCTCTTTGAGGATTTTTGTCTCTGCTCACCTTATAATAACGTAAATTAAGGTGCTTGGCATATTTACAAACCTTTGTTAGGTTCTTCTGTTGCTACGTACCAACTCGCTTGTTCCAAAAATTCACTTTCAATTAACGAAAAAAAAAAAACTAGAGAGGAGTCCAGGAAATGGTCAGAGTAGGTCACACAAGTAGTGCAATTTGGCGGATAGCGTGACAGCTTTAGCTAAGCTCTATATTTTGTACTCTGATAGAGCATGCTCTTTAAAACAACGACAGCCTGTGTTGTAGGCAAACTTTATTACAATGATAATTAAGCTATGCTTCTTTTAATTTTGCGTCTTAATTAAAGATAATTTCATTGAAATTCCATTACTAAGAAACTTCGAAACAATGACTGATATCAGATCAAAATCGGGTGAAGTTCGCTATTCTATTGTTACTTACCATCACCCCCTCACTCGTTTCGATAACATATGTAGCTTCGCCTCCCAAAAGTGGCAGTAGCCACAAAAATCTCAATTTTAGACTATTAAAAATAAGCTTCATTTTAATTATATTTCACCTGTGACGCTGGAATAAATGGGTCGGAAGTATGTTCCTCCAAAGCTTCCAGCCTGAAGAACTTCTTTGGGAGTCAAGTTTGGCTTAAAGTCTGGAAAATCAGGGAATACTAGTTTACCATGTTTGTCTCGTTTTGGGACTGAATCGACGTTTCTTTTCCTCGATGAACCCTCTCCATGTTCTGCAGTTCCCTTTGATTTACTAGCAGTTTTCTGTCTTTTACTCGGCTTGCTTTCCTCGACCTCGGTTGCTAGTGCTCGTTTCCGTGCCATAGTGAACTTCGAAATGAAGCCAAAGGTAAAATAACGCATAAACAGTTTTGGAAAGCGCCAAAACAGTCGGAAACAACCACAACAGTACCAGTGACTGTAATTAAATATTTGATTGTTAGATTTGTACCCAGGCCAGTCTGTCCATCCTAAATCATGGTAGCCTGGGGACTAATTAAGTTGGCTGGTAACTGATGTAGGTATATAATTAAAAAATAGATTCCAAGTTGCCGTGCGTCTGTTCAGTAATAGATCACAGATGACGTCAAAATGTGGTAGGAACAAAAAAGTGGCACACGAGGCACAAAAGTTAATGATGAAGTCATCTATACGTCTGTCCTCCAATAGATCATAAGTGAGAACCAATCAAAACGCGTGCATAACGGAGCTTATTATATAATACAGTATGTACCCTGATGTACGCGTCACTATTTCGCTTTCACTTAGAGTCAGACTTTTGTAGCTTAGTTAGTAGGTCAGTCCATCTTTGAATGAGCTAACCTAAAGCCAGGTGTCTTCCTTTGGTGGGAGCACCAAACTTGGCAAAGAAAAAGGACAGGGAATGATTGGTGGGTTTCCCTGACTTGCGCTCCCACAGAAAAATAAACATATTTTGGCTGATCATCCTTGAGCAGACAGCTAATAGGCTACAATAGGTTACAGTAGACTAGAGAAACAGGACACCATTTCGTTCCCTCCATTTTTTTTATTTGGAACCCTCATATCTACTCTTTTATATACAAAATACAAATGATGGTATGATTAGTTTTGTGACTCACCCAACCTTATGACTAAAACTTGCTAAACTCATTACACTAAGAATGCAACCGACAGAAAACTCTTCTCTTTGAAATATTAAAACACAGCAGTCAAGGGCTGAACTGCTTAATAAATTACAAAGAGCTAGAAACAGCATGCTTACTCAATTTCATTAAATATAACACTGGGGGAAATAGAAATTTATTGTGCAAAATTCACTGCACATGGTTGTATCAAAACTGACTTGTTTTTGTCGTATGGATTCAGCAAACTTTAGACTACAAGGTAATTTTTCCATCTTCTTCTAAACCTTTTTGAACAAGCACTAATGCATATTTGTATAATGCTATCACTATCCAAAGGATAAATCGCTATCTGGCAGATAAGTGATAGCTTGACATAGTGCGTTATCCAGCAGATAGAGATTTATCCTGTGGATAGTGTTATTTTAGCTTCAAATAACTGAGGCCTGGTGATAAGACATATCCCACAGGTAATTATTTATCCATGAGGGTAAACTTTTTTGAGCCAGGGTCTTGGTAAATAGCGTGCACCATCAAATTCACCAAAGTATTCCTCTAGTGTTGAGTGAACAATCTGAAATTTTACATATCAGGAAAACCATTAATAACAGACAAAAACAGTTATTGCTCTGCACTCTACATTACAAGTCCAAACTCAAGCTCTGGCAGAACCCATTGTGTGGTTTTCATGGGCAAGACACTATTCACTCAGTATGTCTCCACACACATTTATGACTGGGTAGTGGCAAACTTATGAGGAAATGTATCCAAATGCTTGAGTGAAACCTAGCCTTGACAAGCATCCTTTTAGAAGGGGAGTAACTGTCCTCTTAGTTTCTTTGTGCTAATGAAACTGGAATAAGGTCCAGCCATATGGGTATCAAGGCTTAGGCATCAATGTGTGGGAGATGAGGTACCCTGATGGTAAGTGAGCTGAACTCTGCACAGAGAGGTCAAGGTTTGAGACTCTGCTAAATTAGGGGGGGGGGGTAACCTTGCGATGGACTGGCATCCTGTCCAAGAGAGACAAGTTGTATCTTTGTGTAAAGTGCCAGTTGATCAGAAGTAATGGGTAATTGATCCATACATAATGATTAATTATGTATTTATTATATAAACTGTCATGTTTCACAAGGAATCCCAGCCCTGAGAAAGGCTGTAACAACACAAAAGTAATATACAATAATTTTTTATGTGTTTGATATCACCAATCAGCTGATGACACATCACTAGCCTTTTGTGTCACTCTGGCAGGTCCTTCACTATTCTCAGTCCAAGGTTGTTTGTCAAAATTTTCTTGGATTATGGCTACTAACAATACTTAAATTTTGTATCACTTACAGACAGTGATGTTCAAACTTTCCTCGAAGTGGAAAAAAAACAAAATACAAAAAGAGAAACCAAAAGCTACCATGCTTTGGTCATGGCATTTCTCATGGCTGCAAATGAAATTAAACAACTAGAAGATTTGACACAGGCTAATTTTGATGGTCAATAACTGAGAATTTGTTTTGAGAATTGAATTATGCCCATTGTTTGTTTTTGTAATGATTCAATGCATTTTTCATCTTGAGCCTTATCATCCAAGCACTCAACAACTTTTTTTCAAGGATTGCAGATCCTATCTTGTTCATTCATTAATAAAATTGACTTTTCTGGTCAATGTAGGCCTATTGTGTTTATATGATGAACAAAATAAGACATGGTTGCTACTAGATAAGGAATTTCTCTTCTAAAGTTTATTTCGATATCTCACTCATGCCTATATATTATTCCCTAATTATCATACCTTGGTATTGGTAATAAGTTCAATATTTTCCTCTGGAACATAGGTAACTTGACTACTGGGACGATCACGGATGTCCACAAGAATTGCATAGTTTGGCATGTCCTGCCAGTGCTGAGGAATGACAAAAAGACTTAACATGACTGCATTTTAGTTTACATCAACAGATAATTTGAACACATTCAGTTCTTATTAAATCTTAAATAAGTTTCAAGACTTTGAATGTAGTTGAAAAGAATGAAAGTGGGAATCAGAATTAGAAAAAATACTAAAGCTTTATTTTCAAATATGGAATTTAATTCTTCTAAACCTTTTTATCTCCATGATTTTGCTGTGTCCATGCCTCTGAGGCCTGAAAGAGAAATTTGTAAGTGGTTGTTACGAAGCCATTATACTTGTTAGGGAGAGGATGATGTGTCATAATCATTTTCTTTCAAAGAACTGATCACACAATCCATCAATAATTGATCAATTTCTCCTCAAAGCACTCCTGAGGGGAGGGAGACTTCAGTCAGACAGAGAGAGCTGAATTATACTTGTCTGAGTTTTCCTAGTTCTCAAACTTTACTACATGTCACTTGACCAATATACAGTTACATAAACCTTCAGTTTCTCATCCCATCCAATGATGACTCCACGGTAGTTCCACAGTTTATGTCTAATTACTTGGCCCACATGAAATTTCACATGCTTTGGTCTTGGAGTACGAGGAACTGTTGACATTCCAAAGTGTCCATTTTTCTCTTGATATTTAAAAACTTCTTCAGCTGGGCATTCACCATCTTCATCTTGCAAAAAATTAATCATAGATCGAGTCCAGTTGACAACCATGTCATGCCATTTATTCCAATCCAGAATATAGCCACCACTGAATAGAGTCAGAGGCTTTGATAGTCTAAAAGCACAATACAAACCTTATAGTACCTTAAGAAAACTATTTACTTATAATACTGTTTGTGAAAGATAATGCGCGGATCAATTCGGAGCTTCAACATTCCCCTCCTCACTAGGAAACCCACACGCATTTGACTATCATCCTTATCGTCTGGGGCTAGGGAATTTGATTCTTGCCTGAATTAAGGTGGGGAATTTGAACCGAAGTTGTCAAGTCCTTCCAGTGGAATCAATCTTTTAATATCAAGATGTTTGAAGGTAAAAAAATTCACTTTTTTAATGGTAGATGGCTCAGAAAGAAATGTCTTCAAGAAAGTCTGAGTTGCTTATTTTGCCTTTTAGAAAAAAAATTGACTAGAAAATCTAGCACTTGGGTGGAGTCAACATTCAGAGCCTGTAGGGGGGGTTGTGGGAGGGGGGAATGTTGAAGCAAATATATTAATGCATAAAGCCCAAGCCGAAAAAAAAAAAATACTATTTATTGCTCAAATAATAAAAAACTAATGGAAAGTAAAAACCATAAGTAATCAGAACAGTCCTCAACCCTTTCACCCATATGAGTGACTAGCATCTAATTTCACCTTGCAATTTTACTTCAAAATCAAACAGTAAACTAGTGAGATTAAAGGAAAAGATGACTAACTAAAGAAGATCTTGGTTGTTAAACATATCTTCCTTGATAGTAACAGGGGAAATATGTAAAGAACAGTACAAATATAGAGAAAATGCATATGGATTTTAGGGTGTAAAGAAGCACATGTAATTGACATGAACATCACTGTGACACAGTTGGTGATAGTCAGAGTCATAGCTAACTTTGCCTAAATCAAAATTTTTCACTCTCTAACATATGTTCCAGATTACTATACATAGCTAACAGGGTTGCAAGGAAAGGAGAAGATAACATTAGGAGGTGTGATCTTTTGAGGCAAGACAAAAATGATGCGGTCAAGTTTATATTGATTCGCTTTGTTCATCCTTTTTAGAAGGAATGGAGATTTTGAGATTACACGTCGATAAAATTTCCGCACAGTCCCATACTATTGTAAATAAAAATCTGTTTTCCCAATGAAAATTTATTGTTTTTGTCATTGTTTTCTCTATCCAAGAACTGAATGCATAATTTAGTATGGGTCTGTGCGGAAATTTTACCAAAATAGCAACGAGAAAAAAATAGATAGATTTTGGCTGAAAATAACATGTTTGCACTTGACCGTCCTAAACTAGCATCCAAAAGGTACAAGATCGATGTACAAATTTCTCCATTCGAGTTGTGATAGATTTAGCTGTTCTTTTCCAATGAACTTACTGTTTGATTAGCTGAACCCTTTCGCTTGCAGATGGACTAGTCCACTGGCATATCAAATACTGCAAAGGCACGGCTAATAGTAGCAGTAAGAGCTGTAATCCACGAGGCATTTTTGAAGACGTGTCCGCTGGGATAAGGACTGTACCGCGGGTCAGCGCCAGACCTCCATAGCAAGCAAAGTAAATTTATACTTCTGCTTTGTGCGACGGAAAATTTCCTGATAATACCGACTACGAATAAATTGCGTATAAAAGACGTGTTGGAACAAGAAGCCTTTCTTAAACAGTGCAAAGTGACTCAGTGTCTTTTTTAACAACGAATCAATAAACTCCACGAGTATGACACTAAGGGAATCATCCTCGTCACCAAGCCCTATGGGCGACAGATACCGAAGCACGCTATTTTTTGCTACAGCGGATACTTATGGAAGAGATATGTACTTAGTGTGAGCAGCACTGAGAAAAGACCATGCACGTATTCCGGTCACGATCGTGAAGATGGCGAAGGGAAAGCGGAATTCACTGAAAAAGAAGAAGCAACAAAAGGGAACCGATGAGGTTCAAAATGGCAAGGAAGATGACGGTAATAAGTTGCACTTACGTTTAATTTAGACCCAAAATAAGATGGCGGCATGTTGTTTAACAGTCATCCGCGGCACGTTGTGTAACAATCATCCTTTAAAGCAATAAGATACGAAGTTACTATTGGCTAGGGTAAAAGTCCAAAGTTTACGTTATCGGCCGATGTAGATTTTAATCGAAACACAAACCCTATGGATTACGTTAATTTTTAAGAGAAAAAATTAGTTAAAAATATCGTAATGTCGAATAAGTCGCTATAAATTCAGAAGAAAGTTAATTGGGATAACAGAGGAAGTGGGTTCGAAGTACTTTAGGGGTGGGGACGGTAACTTAGATAACAGCGTAATGAGGACTAACACAGTCTATAGACTGTACGATTTTACGCCACTATCTGCGTCGGGTGGGGAGGATGGGACGAGAACGTTAAAAGATCTAAATAATATTTTTTTCTACGCTAACTTACTGATGTTTTTTTCTTAATTTTTTTGTTGCCAAACGTAGACGATAAAACTTGTCCTCATATTTCAAAGTCAGTCAAACTGAACTGTTTGCAGAACAAAGTTCCTCACACTTCACTAGGACAGTGCTTAGTAAGTGACGTTTATTGTATTCTTACAAAAGAAAAAAATTCGGCTTCAAGTGTTTAACAAATTATTTCAATATATAATCCGGCTTATTTGAGCCAGTTCTGCTGAGTTTTCTTGAGTGGGTTGTGAGGTGTAAGTAAGCAAGTTCCAAGGTTTATCCCAATCCAAAATAAACCCAGATTTTATGATAAATTTGAGGTAAAAGATACAAAGTATAATCAGAATCTTGACATTCGGCAGCATAATCAGAATCTTGACATTCAATCAGGGCAAATGGTGAAGCTGTAGCTAATGAATTAGCATGCAAAGAAATATTTTGATACAATTTATGAATTTCCATTCATTACACATTAAATAGATTTTTCTTCATAATATCAATAATTGGGAAATTATAAAAAAAACTGTTGTTATTCTTGAGAATTTTAAGCTTTATCACACATGATACAATTATAATTGGTATTATATACTAATTGTAGAATATATATGGTTCCATCCAAGTTCAGATTTTTTCTTTATTATTTACAGAATTGTGGTCAATTGGATGGTTCAGAAAGATTTGGTGTCTGTATTTGTCTTTTCTGTGCCCATCAGGTATATCTAGAAAGATAATTTATTTTAAAAGTACTTTATTAAAGCAGCAGTTTGTTATCTCAAATTAATAGTTTGAATCAGAAACCTTTTGTGTGAGAGCATAAGTTGAAATTGTGTGGGTGAGTCTCATACTCAATGGGTTAGACTTAAGAACACTGATAGCCTATAGCAAGTGGCCAGAGAGGCATCATATATCAACATCACTTTTTCATATTAACAAAAATCCCTCAAATGTGCCATTACTATTATGTAGAGTTTGTGATAAACCATTTCTCAGCTCTGTTTTTCAATCCACAGGGATGTGATAGGAATAGTGAAGACAAACATGCTCTATCACATAATAAAGAAAATCCTTCACACACCATTGTAGTCAGTCTTCAAACTTGGGTTGTATGGTAAGGATGATGTAACAAAGTATAATGTTCATTTAATATAAGAGGAAAGAAATATTTAAAAAAATTAATAAATCAGTCAAAATATGTTACACCCATGGGCACAGTCACTTTCCTTTGACTCTCAATTCCCTTTTTTCTTGGATGAATAGATGAGTTAAGAGAGATTAAGCACACTATAGACTAGTACATTCAATTGCATGTTAGATACTTTTTTCATCCCTAGTAAATGCATGTATCCATGTGTTCCTTCATGATTAGAACATAAATCAGCTTGTTTTCTAAAAAACATGTCTGGTCACATGCAACATGGCCATGGCACCCTCAAGTAACTTCAGCTTACCACAACTAATCCAAAGATTTTGGACTTAAACCTTTGGCAACACTTTGTCACGTAAAAGTATTAAGGAAACATAACAATGTAAAATGTAATTGGTTTTATTTATCTGTTGCTTATAGCTGCAACTTCTCTTTGTTTTTTTAGTGTGTGTGGTCAAGTTGTTGTAAGTGAGCACAGTGAAATATTCTTGTTTTCTTGTAGGTGTTATGCTTGCGATGACGAAGTCCTAGTTGAACCTGACTCTTCTGTTCAAAAGTGCATCAAATTGTTATTAAAGGTTATGAACTTAACCCCTCCTGCAGGTAATTCTAACAGTTATGATATTAAATTAGTCAAATCAAATTAATTAGGTTTGTCCTTATTATAGTCATCATCCTTCAGAACAATACAATTTTTCAAATTACTTGGATGACCTATATCTGTCGAGAAAGGGCAAATTTAATATCTTTAAAAAATACAATGAATAAAAGAAGCAATGTGTGAAGATATTTGCTATAATTAGGTGAATTGAATAACCTGGCTAAAGTTTGTTAAATTTTAAATTTAAACTTGTTTTGGGATATGAACTTATTGTAACTCAAGTTTTGTCTGATTTTCAGAATTGGAAGCCTCCTTGTCTTGTCAAGATAAGGTTTCTAATGAAAAACCTAAGAAAGATGGATCCAAGGCCAACAACCAGCTTAAGAGTCAAATTAAGGTACACTGCATTAAGCAGCCGAGTTCCTTATATCAGGAGGGGGAGGAAAGAGGATGGGAGAGTTGTGAACAAGAGCCAAGGGATTTATATTGAATGAAGGATATGAACATTCATTTGTATTCCGTTTACCTTCACAAATTGTGGTCAATGCTCCATGAGCATGCTTGTTGATTGCACCAGTTAAATCAGGAGCTTACTTATTTATTTTTTTGCAGGGTTTGGCAAATCTTGGGAACACATGTTTCTTTAATTCTGTTATGCAGGTATTATTCTCTATTGTATTTTTTAGATGGCGTTCACAAAGCAAATTTAATTTGCAGCACTCTAACATGAAATCTTTGCATTTCATGCAGTTGTTAATTTTGTTCTTTTTTGCAGAATTTATGCCAGACAGAGCTGCTTTATGTAGCAGCTTCATGTGCTTTGCAAGAAGGGTTCTCCTATCATGTTACCCCAAACAAGAAACATTTGGTGAGCAACTTCCATTTGCTTAGAATTGATTGAATTGGGGATTGCAACCTTTTTTTTTCACTATACACAGCTGCTTTGGGCACTAACCTTGTCTTTCATTTCCTGAGGCTTGTTGCTTGTATGTAAGCTCATTGGCCTCTAAATCTAGTTTCAAAGGCATTCCTTGTCATTTAAAAATGAGTCCAGGTACAGGTCAATTGTTGAGGGAAATGGTGATACAGTAACCACCAGATGGCAGGAATTGTTGAATTCTGTCCAGCCACACCCCTAGAAAAGCATTTCACAAGTAATTTTGTGTGGAAGGCCTAGCTCAATAACCTTCATGTGTTTAAAGAGAGTGTTTAAATAAAATACTATAAGTTTTTTTTCCCCACCAGATTCACATTTGCTGCAATGTTTGTAACTGAACTAAAAAAGTGGTTTTCCTGTAGGTGTTAAATCCATTTCTGCTTAGAACCCACCTTTGTGCTGTCTATTTATTTGTTGCACTCAGTTACTCAAGACTGACATTTTTTTTTTTATCCTTCACAGCCAAAACTAACATTGAAAGTTGAAGAAGCACCAGGAGAAGTGACTAAAGCTCTATGGAAATTACTTCAAGATTTCAGAACCTCAACTGATCGAACCTTAACACCACGTCAGTTGTTTGCTGAGATTTGCAAGAAGTAAACACCAGTCATTTTTCCGTTAATCAGTTAGTTAGGCAGGCAGGTAGGCAGGCTGTCAATTGGTCAGTCAGTCAGTCTGTCTCTCTCTGTCTGTTAGTCAGCCAGTCTGTCTGTCTGTTTTTCGGTCTAAGTCAGGTTTTCAGATGGCCAGTCAGTCAAACAGGCAGGCAGTCATTCAGTCAGGGAGGCAGCAAGTCACTCAGTCAGCATGTCAGGTTTTTTGTGTGTTGGTCAGTCAGCCAGTAGGGACAAATCTGGACTTTTTTCCTGAGGGGGTGCACCACCATGGAATGACGTAACTGACGGGTGACGTTAAGAGATTTTGAAAGCAAACAACGAAGAAGAAGGCTTATGGCAAGTCAGTAAGATAATGTGAACTGCTGACAATACATAGCAAACAAAACAGCAGATCTTGTATTACTGTGAAGGTCTATTAGAAAGCCGAAGGTCATCTCAGGGGCGGGGGGGGGGGGGGTGTGCACCCCATGTACCCACTCCTAGATCCGCTCCTGGTCGGTCGTGATTAATCAATCTGTCAGCTACTCAGTCAGGTGGTTGCTATTCTGTCATACCATCTCTTGACCGAAAAGTCAGTGCATATTCATTTTATATCATTGCGCTACTAGGATCGTATTTACTGAAAGCTATTTCTAATTTTTCCAACAGAGCCACGCGGTTTAAGGGATATCGACAGCAAGACAGTCAAGAGCTGCTACGTTACCTTTTGGATTCAGTAAGAAATGAAGAACTCAGGGTAAATCTACAAGTATTTTTTTTAATTGGTTGAAGCAATTTCATCAGTGATAACGTTACCGAAATTAGAGAATTGTGTGCTTTTTCTGTCAAAGAAAGGAAGGAAACAAATCATTATCTTGATATATTTATGTTATGTTTATCAATGTTTTTAGCGAGTCAAACTTGCTGTGTTGCACTCATTCGGTGTTAAAGGTGATAGTGATGCGAAGACCTTGGACGACAGCAAACGTGTACAAGTCAAAGGTGAATATATCTCTACTTTATTTATATACTATTAATATTTTACTACGATATCATTTTAGCAAAAAAAGTCTCGAGAACCCGCAAAACATGCCACGGTATTATGTAGAACAGGGCAAAAATACTGAGTAACAAAATGGCTGCAATGAACGATCCTTGAGTTTTCATTTTTTCGGGCTTGACTTCTAAAAAAGCAAACTTTTAAGAGTGACAGATTTTTTCTTTGGTCACAAAGAACTCTTAAATGGCGCATTTCACATGTCACACGCGGCTACTAAATGTCTGTTTCTCTTTTGTCACATTATTTCAAGCAATTGATACCAATTGCCTTTGGTATCAATTACCTCAAACTATACATAAACTTGTATTAATGGGCGAGTTTCAAAATCTATCCACTGTCACAATAACTCTAGGGTACAACTGTTTACCACAATTCACACCTGATTCTGTTGTTATTACATAGAGTACGGAGCGAGCGTTGCAGCACCGCTCATAGATAGTGTGTTTGCTGGTAGGCTCGTTAGCATCGTCACGTGTCACCAATGTCATCAGGTTAGTAACCAGGTTTCTTCCAATTTAAGATTGCCAAGCGTATTCCAACAGATTCTGCCTTTAAAATGAGATCAGAAAGTTCAATCGGGTAGTTTTTGTCGTTTTGCTGTGCATCGAGAAGTTCAGGTTACTCTCTGGGATCAGATTTGGGAAAGGAAGGAAAAAGTGTTGGCAGTCATGTCTTAAAGGTTTGAATATTTACGTCCGAAATATTGACGCGAAGTATTTGCACCTGGTGAAGAAGGCTAGTTCGCAGGCCCTTGGAAGAGTCCTCAATCTGAGTTAAACCCCGAAAAGCTATAGCCTAGTCCATCAACTCTGGCTCAATCAATTTTTACATTGGAGTATATCACACCTGATCTGAATTTAACTGCAATTTTGACCTGCCTACCTACAACCCATATACGTTCCCCACTAAATCGTGAAATCGCATTGAATTTTTAGGAATTCAAAGTGGAGGAGACATTCCTGGATTTGTCTTTACCGTTGGCGTCGCCGCCGCAGGTGAGGGCGCCGCCATTTAGCAGATCTTAGCAACTTGCCAGTGACTGATTCTGATGTAGTAATTGACTAATTTCTTTTGAAGCATGCTACACGAGTCTTGAGTCTGTCAATAACAATTAAAAAAAATCTTACAAACATTTTTGAAAAATTAACAACTCTTATCAGTATCAGGACCTTGTCTAGAATGGGGGTGATGAGAATAGGCAAATTAAGTAGCTAAAAGGTTAATATCTCGCCAAATTCTCCTAAGTAACAAGGAAATCTCCAGCAGCCGAAAGGAAGAATTACTGACTAGATCGTGTAAGTCACAGAGTTGAAGTATGAGGTCGATTTGGTATGTAATGGTCTTGTTAACTCAAATCACTTTAACGGCACTTTTCTTCTGTTTATCTCGTCATTCGTTTTAGTTTGTTTTTATGATTTTAAGGGGTTTTCCGTTCTACCCTTGTAGGAATCCTTCAGCAACAAGTTCTTTGGAAAAGGTGGTAAACAAAATCCAAAATCATCAAATACTCCTAAGAATGTCTCGAAAAATGAGAAGGAAGATGAAAAACCGAAGGAAACTAAGAGTCTCAGTAAACATCAGCTAAAATCAGCCAAAAAAGCCGAAAGGGTAAGTAACAAATGTACTCCATGACCAACAGGTTACCTGGGAGGCTTGCAGTGGTCTTTCTTTACTTTGCGTTATCGAACGCTTTTCGAGCGAGTGTCGTAAAACCAAAATCGAAGTAATCACAACGGCCAATCAGAAAAAAGGAAGTACACTGAAGAGCCAATGAGAACTTAATGTAAAAACAAGCAAACCATCCAAAGCGCGGGAAAACGCGGGCGACCAAGTCGTGACTGGTGACAATGACGAACTTGAAGAGTGTTGATCAACTTTTTCACGCACCGAAAACATGAAGTATTTCCTTTAACTAATCAACGTCGTGCATAACTGTAATGTGACATATTTTGTCTTGTCTTGTTTGTGTAGAAAAAGAAAAAGGGAGGAAAAGGCCACGGAAAGAAAGGAAAAGCGTCGCAGCAGGTCGACGACAATAAACAAGATGATGATGATGAATTAGACAGGAGGGCGTCAGAGGAGGAAGGCCATGAACTTGACCAGATGAATGTGTCTGACCTGGAAGGAAGTGATAATGATCATGAGATTAAAGTGAATGAAACAGAGGTGCTTGGGAATTCTAACAGTGGTTGTGAAATGATTCCGGACAATGATATCCAATTGAGAGATAATGATAGCAGTTCGAAGTCCGCTGAAGTCAGTGAAAAGGACGTGGACACTTGTATTTTAGATTCTAACGACGACGAATATTTGGCAGAAAACACAGTTGATTGTGCTGATTCAGAGCAAGCTGAGGGCGTGAAAGACTCGGAGGAACAGCGCGCGATGCAAACTGAACAAAGTACAGAACATTTGAATGGCGGAACGAGTGGAAATGGTTCCACTAATGACAATGAAGAAAACAAAAGTTCGTCAATGGAAATTTTGAACTGTAACCAGGTAACTGCGTCGAAACAGCCAAGTTGCGATTCTTTGCGATGCAGCCAAGAAAAAGGGACTGAGAAAGTTGACCATTATCAACAGGGATATGAAGAAATCCCATCGAGTATAAAAGAATTTTTAAAAGAAATTATAAATTTGGCTGTGAACTTGAATATAGGTAAACCAAGCGAACTTCAAGACGATATTGTCAATAGTAGTCCATCGGGGAGTTTTTCGCCTTCTTGTGTATCTAGTGGTGAGAAACAGGGTAAAGAAACGGCTCATGATTTACAAGAGAAACTAGATGGAGACGAAGTAGATAGAAAATCAACTAAAATTGTTCTTAGTCTTGGCGTAGAACATGATTGCGCCCAAACGGAGCAAGAAACAAACATTACAGAGAACCAAAGACTTTGTTCGAATTCTGGAAAGGACGATGAAAACGAAGGGGCAACGGAGATATCTGCAAAAAGCGAAGAAGAAAGTGAAACTGAGTCTGAAGAAGAATTTGAAAATGATAACGGGATAGATAGGATTCTTACTGTTCAACCCGCGTATCGACCCTCCCCGGGCGAATGCTCTGTTTTGTCGTGTTTAAGCCAGTTTTGCGTCTCAGAATTATTAGATGGCAATAATAAATTTGCCTGTGAGGTATGTACCAAGCGAGCGCAGCGGAACAATAAGGAGGAGGGATCTAGAAAAACGAAAGACAATGACAAAGATGATGTCAGTGGGGACTCTTCGTCAGAAGGTAAGTTGACGTTCTTTTGATTGAAAAACATCTTAACGGTACTGTGTGATTGAGTGGCTAGCGTGCTGAACTCCGGGTCGCGACCGCCTTCTTGTGTTGTGTTATTGGGTAAGACACTTTCTTCCACTTTGCTCTTCTCCGCTCAGGAGTATGAATGAATACTGGAAGCTTTAATTCGAAATTAACTCGGGCTCTTAACTCGAAATTAATCGTTAAGACTTCTTTGCAAGTGCTGATTAGTCGTTTCTCATTATTTCTCCATCACCTGTGGTAATCAAGGATTCTGTCTCGCAACTGGTTTAATCGTTTTTTTATCTTTCTTATTCTTTACAGACGAACCAAAAGGTGCTAAAGCACAGAAGTCTTCGAAGAACAAGAACAAGGACTCCCAACAGCAGACCGTGTATACCGTGGCTAGTAAACAGATGCTGATTTCTCTTGCTCCACCAGTCCTCACTCTTCACCTCAAGCGTTTCCAGCAAGCTCGCTTTACTTTGCAAAAACTAACCAAACACGTGGACTTTCCACTGGAGCTGAACCTGGCGCCGTTTTGCAGCAGAAGTGGAAGGGTAAGCAAGGTTAGGTGTTTATAAAGGCGATATTTCGCGAGGCGGTTGAAACTTAGCCAACACAAGACGCTTCTCTGGCCGCACAACACCCGATCACGTATCGATTCATTGTCGTTGCTCGGTAACTCCTTATGTATGTAGGGATCGTTTGTTCGGAATTCAGGGGACCCCTTTAGTTTCTGTTTGTTTTGTTATAGGATCACGTGTAAAATCGTTCGCGCACGTTATTTAGTCGTCGTTACGTTGAAATAACTTAGGAGTGAAGCAGAATTTATCTAAACATAAACCTCTTTGGCTTCAGCTAATCGTTTTCAGCGGAAACGAAATAAATTGAATACACTGAGAGAAAAAGTATCTAGACTTGTATCGGAAACTCTTAATCCGGAGTCCAGTGCGTCCTTCGTTTACTACCGTGTTCTTAACTATTGCGACAGGAAAATTTACGTTTCTGTTTTTGTTTGTTTGTTTCAGAGTCGAGCAGACTCAGAAGGCAAAGTGCTGTACTCGCTGTATGGAATAATTCAGCACAGTGGTAATATGAACAGCGGACATTACACAGCCTACGTGAAAGTCAGCGAACCACCATTGAAAAGTCTGTACGACAAAATTACCTCAATGAGTGAGTTAACGGATTTTATAGAGAAAATGTGGACTCAAAAGTCCGAAGCTCAACATGGTAGTTCCCGTACTCATCATGAGCCTGCGCCGAGTGGTCAGTGGTTTCATGTCAGTGATTCAAGCGTAAGTGCCGCAGCGGAGAGTAAGGTGCTCAAGAGTCAAGCGTACATGTTGTTCTATGGCCGCCTTCCTCTTGTCAGTGGATGACCAATTCAATTTTTCTAGACTTAGCAGGGGTTTAAATTAAGTGTTAAAATGATTCCTTTTTTTGTGTGTTTTCAATCAAGCCCCTTCTTGACCTGTGGATACAATCTTGACTTGGTAGCTCGCGATTACCTCGCGAAATTTCCATCACCTTGATCGGTTGTCGTAAGCATTTGGTTTTAAAAATCTCAGTAGAAAAGGTTTATCCAGAAAAATCTCACGCCTCGACTGTGAACTGAGCTTACTTTCGGGTAAATGCATTGCGCGGCAACGTTTAAGGAATTCTCAGATCTGATCTTTTTGGTTGAACATGTATTGTTCACTCGTTGGCATTAGCCTCGGGTTGTTTGCTCAGTTTTGTTCAAGTTTACGACACTTGATCAAGATCTCACAAAGCTTCCGAAATGCTTAACACCATTTCTAACACTGATCTCAGAGGTTTTGATCAAAAGCCGGTTTCCAGCGGTCTTCCGTCGCCTCTGGGACCACTTACCGCCTTCTGTTCAGCGTACGAGCAGGCTCCCGTGATTGGGTTCCGTCTCACGGCCCCTTCTCTAGATACAGCCGCCAATTACGCCATCGGCAGCTGCTTACGGAGAAAAGTTATTGAAACCCCTGTGATCTGTGAAAATTTATTGATATATATATAGTGACTGAATGAATGACCTTATACTCCAAATTTGGTAGAAAAATTAATGGCTCTTGGAACCTAAATATGAAAAAGGTATGAGATTTAGTAATTCACGTTATTCTTAAGAATTGAAATTGATCGGTACTCTGTAGCTAGCATCAGTTATAAAGAAGTAAGTAAGTCAAAAAATTTATTTCTTATTAAAAAAAGCCGACTTTCCCTCCAGCTTTTCCCGTAATCCAAGCTCGTGGTTTGGATAGGGGTTGAAGGCAATTTGTAGGGAAAAAAAGATCGAGACAAACGCCAAAAAAATGCAGTGCAAACTATACCAGACATTTGTTTGCGGATGAGCAGATGGTAAATAAAACAAGTTATGATACTCTTTGCACGTTGTCCTTCAGAAGTTTAATGTATTTTATTTGTATTTTTAATGTATTTTATTACTAAATTTAGGCCAAGTGGAGGCCTACAACTTTTACGTGTTCTCTGTTTGAATTAGAAACTAAAACATTCTAAGCTTTTGCCGACCAACGGTATTATCATCTCGGGATTTTGACTCTTACGAGGAAGGATGCCGCAGTGATGGGCTAGATAATGAGTCAAAAACAAATTGTATTTAAAACACAAGTATTCTCTTGACAAAGGTGACTATCTGACCATAAAAAGGCCAAAATCCTAATTCGCTCAGGCCTTAAAAAAGTGGGTAGAGGGGTAGGGAATAGAGTGACCATCTTCTAATTTCACCTTACGGTAATTCTGTAAAATCATTCATTAAAATCTTACAAATAATCGAGATGACTACCAACCTAAGAGGCACCGATTGCTAAACAAATTCTCCTTGTCAGTACCAAGGCAAATTTATAGAGAAGGATATGGAGAATATGGATACTGATGTTTGGTTGGAAACGGTTAATAAAAGCGGAAGCCGTTCGCAGGCCTTTCCGTCTCCTCCCGTTTACAAGAAAGGAGCGTGTGCAGCGAAAGGGGATGGGACGAAGGCGAGCAAAATAAGAAAAAAAAAGGTGACGAACGGAAAGGAAGGATAGAGAGGAAGCTTTTCAGCTCGTCTTGAGCCATGCTTTCCACGCGCGCTCTTCTCAGGCTTCTGAGAGGTCAACCATGGGAAGTACTTGTCGCCACTTGTAGGGCTGCAACAGACCTTTAATGACAGCTTATCGAGTGATAACACGAGCTTCAAATACTAAGTGATTACATCATAGTCTGTTATAAAACAACATCAGCATGACTAAGCGTGACAAGGTACGTTCTGGGATATTCTGGAACGTTACCGTACATAGGAGACGTCATATTGGTCAGGTGAGATTAAGGTATTTAGTGCGTGAGGTTGTCGCTTCCAAGGTTTTGCTCTCATTGTTCCGTGAACGCTTCAGGTATTGAGTCGCCTGCGAGCGTCTAGATATTGGGAACAAGGTTGACAGTAATTTATTCAACATGGCTGAGCCAACGGCAACATTAGGTGTCGCTGCAAAACTGCTCAAAATTTTGGTTTTTGGAGCTACTGGTAGAACGGGAAAAGAAGTTGTAAAGCAAGCTCTGGAAAAGGGACACCATGTAACTGCTGTTGTGAGAACACCCGAGAAAGTCGATATACAGTGAGTAAATTACCTGGCAGCAGACTTCCATTTAATGGCCCTTAAGTGTCATATCAGACTCAGATGATACCCCCATCCTTTCCAAGGCTCGCTGTGGAGGAGAAAGTGTCAAGTATTCACTAGTAATTCATGTAGATAGCATATACTTGTCCGGGATTTGAGAGTAACTGGTTATTCTCGAAAAGAGGTTACTATGTAGGCATAAGTAGTACTTCATTAACGTTTCCATTCTTCGTCTTAGTTTTTGGGTATAGTTGAAGAATTATGCTGTCCTCTATTGTTGAATGCGTAATACTCTGGCAGCGTCGGAGTAAGAAAAGTTGTGTGAGCTTGTTTTCAAGTTTGTTCTAAATTGAACACTGAGAAACTGGGTCATTCTCTTAAAATTCATCCTAAGCCTTTTTTGCACCTAAATTTCAGTGAAAGTTTGCCACTTTCTTGTTGTTTTCACGCGGGTGTTCTTTCCAGCTTGTAAGTTATGTAATACTCATTAAGAGGGAAAAGAGTGAGATCAGGCTCTTTTTTCCTTTGCTAGCCTCCACAACATCTCCAAAGTGCTGACTATCCATGGCTTTTACAAACTTTTTAGCCATAATAACCAGACCATCTTCTTTTCATGTTATTCCAACAGGCATGAAAATTTGTCAGTAGTGCAAGGTGATGCCTGTGACGTGGAAACTTTTGCTAGTGCACTCGAAGGGAAAGATGCTGTGTTGTCATCTCTGGGAGTTTATGCTAATATCTTGAACCCTACAACATTCTACACCACAACCTTCAATGAAATAGCACAGGGAATGAAAAGGTAAAGGTTCTAAGTCGCTTATGACACATTTTGGAATTTACATGGTGAATTGATGATTTGTGGCCTGATTTGTCCTTGCAACATGATTAACAGGACTATAAAAATACATGTAACAATATCAATCACAAGGGAAAAATTTTAGTTTGGTCTTATATCAGTATTGTTAAATGGATATCAAGAAGCATGAAGACCTGAGAGCTAGTTTTGGCAGCTAGTCTTCCAAGGTTGTTTTGATGAGAAATCACTTGAACACATACAATGCTAATCAATTATTCATGAATGATATGCTTAATATAGAAAAGCCACAACACAAATAATTATTTTTTGTACATTAGGCCAGAGGTTATGCTTCCAGTATGTGATCTGAGTTCCCTCAATTTGTCCCCCACAGTTGTCAAATTTTAATATTTTGTGACCACATTTGAAGAGAAACAGAATGTGTGACAATGAAAGTTAACACACTCAAGTTATTTTAATATTCTAGGTGTGATATATATTGAGAATTATAAATAAAGTGCTATATTATTCATTGTTTCCTATGATCTAGAAACAAAGTCACTAGACTAGTAACTGTCACATCATGGTGTACTCGGCCAGGACCAAATAATTCTTGGTTTGTGGAATGGATTCTAAAACCAATCTTCCTTAATGGTGTTATCAAGAATATGGCAGAAATGGAGGAACTGTTGGAGAGTTCTGATCCTGATCTTTTAAACTACACAATTGTCAGGCCTTGTGGTCTAGGCTTAGGTAAATCTGTGACTCTACAAAAACACATTTAACTTTATTTTTTGCTAAGATTTACAAGTTCATCTAATTATAATAATCATGTTTGGTTGCACACACATTTAGTTTTATGCTAAATGTTGAGTTTTAGATGGCCTGCCATAAATTCAGGGCCATCCTGACTCATCTTGGCTTGCCCTACAACTCCAATTTTTGTTTCTATATGCTTCCTGATTTTATATTTTGGTAGAGATCTTGTAATCATAGAAATAGCTGATTGGCTAGAATGGTTGGAGACAATATGAAAAAAAGTATGTTGCATCTCTATTTTAATGATGACCTGTCTTGGAGTTTTTCTATGGTCAGTTAGAAATCAGGATAGGAAATTTAAATAATCAATTTTCCCTTGAGAGTGATCAACAGTAGAACTCATTAACAATCCTTTATCACTGATGTAGCCAAATTTAGTATCCAGAAAATCTTGAACAGAAACCTTTCCCAGTATATTGGTTATATCTTGAAAAGCATGGAAACAGTAAAACTTAGTCTGTTTTTAATTTCCTTTGCATATGAAAATCAATCTTAACATTGAGGGAGCAAGCCAATACAAACTTGCTCAACATACAGATTTTAATGGGACTTGTGCTTTCCAGGTGAAAAGACAGGAAATTACAAGGTTGAAGAAGGGCAGTGTAACACTGGAACAACAAGCAAGATCACTCGCGCAGATGTTGCAGATTTTATGCTAAAAACTTTAGAAAGCAATGAGTACGACAGGAAGGGATTTGCAATTGCTGGAATGTGATTGATAATTTTTATTACCTTATTGTCTTTCATGAAAGGAATGAGCACAGAGGAATTTCTCCTAACAATATAAATGCATTTTAAGGCAAAAAAGGTTGTAGAGAGATATAAAAATACATCAGCTTTAGGGATATTATTTAATTTAACACCAAATTATTAGAGTTAAAATTATATCAAATGTGTGAGAGACAATGCAAATGATTGATATTAAGATTTTGAGAGTGGAAGAGTTGACATATCATAATGGCGGGAATTTGCTGATAAATTCTTGATAACTTAAGTTTCTGCTACATAGCTTAACCCTTTAACTCCCAGAAGTGACTAACATGAAACTTCTCCCTGTGATTCCCATAAGTTTCTAGCAAATGGTTAATGAGAATACTAAAACTTATCAGGAAGGAGCTTTTATATTGATATAACACCAAGTTCTCATAACTAATTTACAAGGAATTGTGTAGCAGCAAGAGGAGAGAATTAACAATCAGATCTTGAGAGTTGGAGTTAAGAAATTTGATAATACCATGGTTATAAAAATGCGGAAACTGTCATGGAGTTGATTTATAATGTTAACAAAGAAAGGCTCTGAGATTGATTAAGTGATATATCCACAGTGGTAAGGTGAAGTAACAGAAGGTGATAAGAGTGGTTTATTGATTGACCTGCAATAGAGCCAAAACTAATGGTACATGTAACTACAATCTTAAAATCAGGTGTTTTATTTCTTAGTTAGAGCTGACTTTTGTCACAATTAAAAAAATTAAAAGAGAATACCTGATCAAAGGTTAGAATGAACAGCTGAAGATACATATTGTAAACAGGTATTGTTAAATCTATTTTGTGGTTTCCTCAAAATTAATGTGTTTATAAAAAGTTTTTAAAAAAGGATTTTTGCCTTTTCCTTTTTTATCATATCTGTGTTTGTTAACTTTCCATTTGTCTCCTATTATATATGGTGTTCAACTCTAATGACTGGTCAAACTTACTCCAAAATGGCTTAATAACTGAGCTGACATTTAAAAGACAACTTCAACACTGGGTTTTTACGTGTTTTTATTCTCTTTTTTTATGTGTTTTCATTAAACATCTTCAGGGACTAAGTAGCTAATTGTCTTGTATAAATTTTAAGAATTATTGGTTGTGTGTGCATGAGATACGTGAAGAATTCTTGCACAGAACACTCTTCGATGGAAAATAATCGAAAACCCTTCCTCCTTTTCCGCTCGCCTCGACCCGAGAGAAAATATGGACCTAGAAGGCCTGGGTATAAATCATTTGCCAAAGATCCTTTGCGTGTCGAAGAATTCAACATGGCGGACGAAATTGAAGTTCGGATGCCATTGAAACTTGTTGTCTTTGGTGGATCTGGGTTAACAGGCAAGGAAGTGGTGACTCAGGCACTAGATCGTGGCCATCATGTTACAGCGATAGTTAGATCTCCG